TAGGAGAGGACAAACAATAACAAAAAAAACTTAACACTTTAAAAACAAACATCACAAAAAAGTTCTGGAAATGAATGGTGGTACTGACAGTGTAAATGTACTTAATGCCAATAAACTGTACATCAAAAAATTGTTAAATTAATAAACTTTATGTGTATTTTACAATAAAAATGAAAACAAAACAAGGTCAATAAATAAAAATAAACTTAAGACCACTGCTCTTGCTCATGTGCTCTGACATAAGACTTAGGTAAGAAATACGAACTTCTAAACTAGGTATCTTTCCACAATAATGAAATATCTCATTCTTTCTTGAATGCAGCCACAGAGGTTCTACTAAGAGACAAGGATGCCCTACAGCACCTTTATGTCTCCATTACCAATAAATGCTTGACTATTTGTCCTGACTCTATATTTACAGGCTTAATTTTGCTTTCAAAGCTAATTTATCTTTTGTGTTCAAATTCCATAAAATAACAAGTCTCTGTCATACAAAAAGAAAATACAATTACATTTGAATTTGAAAAGCTCTACTGATTAAATGCAACTATTTCCTACTGACTCTACCTCAAATAAGCCTCTCACTTTTCAGTTCCACTGTATTATGTCTGATTCACATCACCTAGACCAGCCCTTTCCAACAGAAACGTGATGCAAGCACTTAGGCAATTTCACAATTCCTGTTGTCAGATTAAAAAAAAGAGAAGTAAAATTAAAATATTGATATTATTTTATTTAACCCAGTATATCCAAAATTATTGCCTTCCCAACATAAAATCAACATTTTTAAAATGAGATATTTTGCTTTCTTTTCATAGTAAGTCTCTGAAATTCAGTATGTATTTTATATTTATGGCACACCTCAATTCAGACTACCCACATCGCACAGCACAGACCCTAGACCAAAAGGGGTTCTCAATCATGGCTGCATAACAGAAACACTTTCCATTAATTCAGTAAGTGAACTTACTGGTTCCAGGGCCTGGAGGTAAACTGGTAAGAAGACAGATCTCTTTTCTCCATTGCTAAACTGAGTTTGGCACACGAGACCTCTGATCATCTGGTCCTTATCTACTTCAGCCTTCATCTCACATCCACATGTTATCATTTTTATAACCTAGGCACACAGTTTCACAAGTTTCTCAAACACATTAGTCCTTTAAAACTCCTTACAGTTGTTGTGTTGGTTTTCTCTTCTTCCGTCCCCTCTGACACCCCAACTCTTTCAACATCCACTCCAAGTGTCATTTTCCCTGAAGCGTTCCCTGGTTCTCCAGGTAATTACTTACTCTCTCCATTGCGCATTTTCCTCATATCTTTCTGACATACTATTGCATGCTCTCGAATGATAAATTATCCATTTATGAATTTGTCTCAACACAAGATCAGGGGTTATCCACCTCATAATTCAGACATACTGGAGTTGACATCAGTGACAGAGAAGAGGAATCACACCCATTTTATCTTAGCTATGCCTATGTAATCTATGCTATAGCCACCCTAACCTAAGCCTGATCTTCCTATAGAAATTCATTACGTGTAGATCAAGTCACACATGTTGTAGCAGGAATGCACCGTAAAAATGATCAGTATCTGTTACCTGTCATATATAACACTAAAATTAATTAATACCAGCCAGTTGTGGTGGCTCATGCCTGTAATTCCAGCACTTTCAGAGGCTGAGGAAGGTGAATCAAGAGGTCGGGAGTTTGAGACCAGCCTGGCCAACATGGTGAAACCCCGTCTCTACTAAAGATACAACAAATTCACTGGGCGTGGCGGTGCACACCTGTAGTCCTAGCTACTCCAAAGGCTCAGGCAGGAGAATCGCTTGAACCCAGGAGGTAGAAGTTACACTGAGCCGAGATCGTGCCATGCACTCCAGCCTGGGCAACAGGTTGAGACTCTGTCTCAAAAAATAATAATAATAATGATAATTAATACCCTGGTGTCCTAGCTTATTAACAGCTCTATTTAAATTTAGATAGTATATTACCTAAAACCTGATCACTGTTGAAACCTGTAACTCTAGCCCTTAGGTATAAATGATGCTCAGTGCCTTTGAGGGCTTTCTCATCTAAGGAAAGCAAGAATTGGGCTTTAAATTTCTTAACAAAATGTCAACTTTGTTGTCGTAACTTTATTTAATGAACATAAAAACCTTTATGATAAACAACACACTTACATTTAGGTATCTGTCAACAACCTAAACCTCCAAGGCTGATGTTCACCTTCTGTAAGAGCCTAAAGACAATTTCTATTATTGAGAAAAAGCTAAGCGCCACTCCAATACCAGTATATATCATTTATTACGCAGCTATCATGGAATAGTAAATCATGTTACGTTTTTCACATGTATTTTCTTCACAGCAACACTGACAGCCAGCATTTCCATTTTACACATAAGGAGACAAGCATAGTAGAACAATTCCTAAAGTAATATGCTCTAAATATGGATTCCAGATGTTTGCTCCTTACACTAATAACAATTCATCTAGTAGTATGCCAGAGTTTGTCTGTACTGACTTATAAGAACTGATTTAAATTTTTAGAAATTCTGTAAGCCACTGTTAAACACAGCCATGATTTACCAAATAAACTATTAAAAACAAAGGTAATAATTACTCAGAACTCATAATACACTTTATTCCTGAGGTTATTTACATTTTTTTGTGTGTGTTTATAATATACATAATGGGAACACTGTATATAACATCACTTAGCATCTCTTCCCAACTATGTATCTGTCAGTGATGTCTTTAAAAGCTTGAAATCGACCATGGTGGGAGTATTTACATCAAAGAATTGGCAAAACCTACAAAGCATGGCTTTCTTTTTCAGAGTAGTTGTACATTTACCAGAAGACCACTGAGGTTATCTTGTTATTTTGAATCAATAGGTTATTTCAAAATGTAATATACGTGCTTAGCCCCAATCCAGAAATTCTGATTAAGTAGATTAGGGGTGGAATATTATCATGTGTATTTTGAAAAAGATCTTCCCTCAAAAGGAATTTTAATAAAAACCTCCAGCTGAGAACTATTTGAGATTTTTAAGAATGACTGTATTACTATATCATATTAGCCATTAGAAAACTACATACTTCAAATATATTACAATAAATAAGTTTCAAAAATTATAATACTGTCAGGGCTTTTTTATCATGTGTCAAAACAGCCACAGAAAGCTTCTACATACCGTAAATGATCAAAGAAACTGTTGCTCATATAATTCAGTAACTTTCGTAAAAAGACTATATTATGGGACAACTGGATATCCACATGCAAAATAATACGGCTGAACCTTTACCACATCATAAATAAAAATTAGCTCAAAATGTATCAAAGACTTAAATATAAGAGCTAAAACTATAAAATTCTTCAAAGAAAACATAGATTTAAATCTTTGTGACCCTGGATTAAACAATAGTTTCTTAGATGGCACCAAAAGCACAAACAAGCAACAATAACAACAACAAAAACAAAAGCAGATAAATCGGATTTCATCAAATTTAAAATGTGCATGCTTTAAAGGACAACATCAAGAATGTGATGACAACATACAGAATGGGAGAAAATATTTGCAAATTAAACATATAAATTACATGTATAAATAAGGGACTTGTATCCAAAATAAAGAGAACACTTATAACTCAATTTTTTAAATGGGCAAAGGATCTCCAAAGAAAATATACAAACAGCCAATAAGTACACAAAAAGATGCTCAACATCATTAGAATTCAAAATGCAAATCAAAACCCCAATTACATTATCATTACACATCCACCAGGATGGCGATATTCAAAAAGTTACACAACAAAAGTGTTGGTGATGATGTGCAGAAACTGGAGCTTTCAGATGCTGACAAAAATATAAACTAATACAGCCACTTAATGAAGCCTTTTCTCAAAGGGTTAAACATACAGTTACTGTAGAAACTGGCAATTCCACTCCTCAATATAAACCCATTGAAATAAAAACATATCCATACAAAAACTTGTATATAAATGTTAATAGCAGCATTGTACACAAGAGTCAAAAAGCAGAAAAAGCCCAAATATCCATCACTAAAGAGCAGATAAACAAAATGTTGATATTATCAATCCACTGTAATATTATCTGACAAAAATTAGGAATAAAATACTGATGCCTCTTATACTCTTTCGTGAACCATTAAAAACTATGCTAAATGAAAGAAGCTAGTCACGGAAGATCACGTATTTTATTATTCCATTTATATGAAATATATAGGCAAATCTATAGAGAGAGAAAGAGAATTTACTGGTTGCCTAAGGCTGGTGGCTACAAGGGTGACTGCTGAAAAGTTTGGGGTTTCCTTATGGAACTATGAAAATATTCTAAAATTGACCATGGTAATGGTTTCACAGCTCTAATAATATACTAAAAACCACTTTTAATGAGTGAATTATATGGTATGTGAAATATGGTATACATTTCTAGAAAAAAATTAGCTCTGGGAAAGATTTCCATTCCTGACAAACCCTTATGTTTTCTTTTATTCGATGAACTACATTATAAATTTTATTTCTCTTGCCTTCGCTGCCAACTAACTCACAGCTCAAATCTGGGGTCATACGTGCTTTCTTTTACCCCAACTTTTTAGTCGTTTGGTAACCCCATGTGTTTTGCTTTCATTGTTTTAATTTGTAAATGTTCTACTACAAACCACTTCAAACTTTCTTGGAAGCAGATGTGATAGCCGGCTGAATTCTGAAAACTAAAAGATACTCATGATCACCAACAAGGTACAAAATCCCTACTAAGTTCAGTTTGAGTTCTGCCAAGCAATCCCTTTCATCTTAACTACGATAAAGAACTGAACCAGTTTTCCCATTAATTACATTAAATTTCCCTCTAAATTATATTATCCATATAGAACATTATAATGCCATATTTAGCACACAAATAATATTTTAAATGAAACTTAAATGAACAAATCACTATTAAAGTTTAACTTTGTTTTGGGAAATTCAATCCTACCCTAACAGGCGAGGATGACTCCTCTGTATTTCGTTTCTGGGACTCAGTGTCCACGTCTTGGCGCTTGTTCTTCATTCTTTCTCTAAGATCCCCTGTAGGTCTTTCTGGTGACCTTTGAATCAAAACAACAACAACAAAAAAAAACGAAACAAAACAACAGAAATCTATGTTTATATATTAATAATATTTTCTATAGATGTATTTACAGAAATAACCTCACAAATCTCAATATACTTTTTGTGACCCTGACTCCTAAATTTCTGAAAAATAATTTCACCTTAAATATGATATGCAAAACATAAGCAACACTTACAGTTTTTCTTCCATTAACAATAAAAACGTATATGTTAAAATTCCATGAAGTGGCAGGTACTGGTGACGTGAATAAGGAATTACATGTGAACTGAGAACAAGGAATTAATAGCTTGACTTGTTTTCCTATTAATCACATGAATATATTAGTCACATGTGGAAGCCAAACATAATAATACTAACACAGTTTTAAACTATAAAGTTGCAAAATTAATCTAGAGGTAGCAGCATTATCAAATATACATGCAAGATATACGAAGACATCACAAGAAACAAGTTTCTTATATATACATTCATGTGGTTGGATGCAAAGTCAACAACTGAGAAAATACTTTATATAACTTCAGAATCAAAGCAAATATAGGAGCTTGATAATTTTTCTGAAATTTTAATTTATTTCAGAATAAAGACAGAAAAGGAGTCAAAGCAAAATTTTACAACAGTGATTTTCAAAATCTGTTGCAAATATTTTTTAATTGAAAGAAAAACGCATATATGTACTCAGCAGTGGTAAGGCTTTGTTATTTATGCTAGGAATTTGACAGCATATGGCTATGCAATTATTCTATCAGCTGGAAAAAACAGAGGAGAGACAGAAAACACCTTGCCTTTAAAGGCTATTTCTAGAACAGCTTTAAAAGAAGGCAAAAGAAGTTAAAAAATGCTCTGTTCCTCTTTGACTACAAAAAAGTACTGTCTATAAAAAAGATATGAACAAATCATATAAATATCCACATCCATTTCAAGCAGCCACTGATCAATCAAATCAATTCCTTGATTTTATGAATATAAATCATAAGGTTAGTGAATAAATAATTTGAGTTAATTCACTTTAAAGGATCTCATTAAAGTTTACATGCACATTTAAAAGATGTATATTAAATGTTTTAACAGTTAAAGCTAAACTTGAAACTGGAACGTCTTTTTAAGAACCAGTACTTAAGTGCTTTAAATTATGATTATGATGTACATGCAAATCCTGTGTGTGCTGGTTTGTTTTATATTACATAATAAAACAGTTTATTATGAACTTGTTTCTATCCTAAACAGCACCCAACAGAGTGAGTGTTCTACACACAGCAAATTCTCAGCAAATTACTTAAGTCTTGTATATAAGCATATAAGTGAGCATTTTGTAAAATACATTACTTTTCTTCTCATCTTTAACTCACATTATGAAATATATTTTTCTCCTTATAAAAAAAATGCACGAATACAAAAGAAGTTATCAGATGGAAAAACACACACAAAATGGCAAAATTATAATAAATATCCTTTATTCTAAGTCTAGCAATGACATTATTTTTCCCATTATAGACAAATTTCTCTGACCATTTCTCTGAAAATTATTTTTTAAAAATTGAGTCAGCTTATAAATTTCAAAGATGAATTTTAAAAATATTAAAACTGTAGCATTAATGTAAGCAAAACATTAAAATTATGGAAATAGTTTCACCATGTAAGTATCCACATGTATATATACATATACAATAATAACACTAATTATCCCACATTAACAGAAGTGACAAATGACAATCTAAATACAAATAAAACAGTATTCAGAATCACAAATAAACTAAAATATACAATGGTTATGTGAAAAGGAAGTTGGCTAATGTTGAGGGTTTGAATTTTAAATTCTACTAAATAAAATCTACCCATACACTACCCCCCTCAAAATCACCCAACTAATAAAAAGAAAAAAAAAAAATCTCCAGTTACTAATGTTCAGTTTTTACACAGTTTCTATGCTATAGCCAAAACAGTCAGCATAACCAATTTTGGAACTAGGTAAATTATTTGTTTACCAATCAAGTTAAAACTGTTTTTGTGACTAATGTTATATATATTACATCTTTAAACACCATAAAAGAATTATCATGAGGGACCAAAAGAAAAATAAAAGGTCTTTATAAAGCAAGTTTAATTTAGCCAAGCCTTTACTAAAGGCAAAATGATGTTTGAAAGATGGAGTACATTTATCCACATATAAATATGTATTTTCATTAACATTAACACTCTGTGACAAGGTACAGAATTTGTACAAAATTCAAATTCAGAACATCTTAAAATTATACCCAATTTTAATTTTCCTATTTTAAGATTTTAAAATAGTCTAGCCTCACTAAAAAGAAATTCAGACACCATGAAATTCTGCTGTCTCAGGCATCAATTTAATACATAATTGGGGGAAAAAAGTAATACACATATTACAAAAAGATCTATTGTCATAACAAGTAAATACTGAATAAGTTAATTTTAAAGCAAACAATTTATTAATCTTGAAAATAAAAACAAAAAGATCTTGTCAAACTTTGACTACTGGAAAGACTACTACCAATAAGGAAAATCTGACCAAATGTACGGTTGTATTTCAGATTTTTATACTCAATAAATGACAAAAGCCATCTTCTAATAGTACATAAACAATTCAGAGTTTTCAGTTTACCTTCTATAATTGCTGCTATAACCTTTACCGCGAGGTGAAGGGCCATGTATGAATCTACATGTGTTTCCATAGAGGCAGCTGCCAGTCTTCAGCCAGTTACGGCACTGTGTCTAAGAGACAGATATTACCATGTAAATTTCATATTGAGTTCTGGGGAAAAAAATGCTAGTGGGACAAAATTAAAACAAATGCTATCAAAATTCCAGCTAACCTGTGAGATATTACTCCCCAAATAATAAAAACTTCAGGAAAAAAATATGGAAAACCCATAAACCTTACCGCCTTTGAAAAAATTACTGAACCAACTTTCCTACAATAAACCAACCGGTTCACCTTTATGATACAAATGAGCATTTCAGTAACAGAATTCTAAGAGAACCCCTGTGACTATACTAGTGACAACTCACCTCTGGTGTACTGCCAGTGCTGGGTCCAAGCCTCTCAAACACACTGGGTCTTCGGGATGTGCTATCAGATATGGTCTTGGTATTTTCCACTGTGACCTTCCTTCTAATTTTTGACATTTTGTACTACTTTAACCAAAAAAGAAAGAGGCAAAACTGTAAAATTCTTCAGTTTTAAATAACTGAGCCCACAACTTACAAGTAGATAAAACTATAGGTAACAGTGTAAAATTACACGGCATTTTCCTTGGGAGATAAAAAAGGCATAGGAGAGGTCACAGGTAAACAGAGATAAGGTATCTTCTAACACATGTCTCACTGGTGAATTTATAACAGCTGTGAAATCTGTTGGCTAGAATTGTACCTCTTCTGCAGAGTGAACAAATATGATTCTACTCACACAGTGAAGTTTTCATGGTACAATCAACCTCAGAAGACATAGCACAAAATCTTTACTTTATAAAAGTTACTTACAAAAATTGCTTCAAAATTTAGTAACTCTAACCTCTAAGAAAAAGTTGTTAACCATCAACTGGTTAAATGAAGAAGAGTTACGCTAAAGAAAATTGGAAAACAAAACTGGGTGAAAATTTTGATAGCAGAAATCATACTTCATAAGTTTAAGTGACAATAGTAGTTATGTTCCAAAAATCAGGTTGGAGAAAAATGAATGATATTTTAATATTTTCTTTGCCTTACAGAGATCAAAGCAATTTGATCAAGCTTATTTATTTTCCAGTAACACAAAAAGAAAACCCAATGTCGCTAAAGACAACTTTCAAAACAGGACAGATTGTAGAACTAGAAAAAGTCAAGGTGTTTCTATAATCCATACTACACTGACATAAAATTCAAAGGTGTTAAAAGTAATTAACAGACTATTTTACCATTATTAGTAATAAAAAAATAGACAAATTATAAAAATATTTTTATTTTATTTCACCTTTAAGCTCTGTTGGATTTAATGTAAACATAGAAATATTTTTTAAAAAGTAAATATAACATTCAAAAACTGAAACCATAATAAAAATCTAATCCAGTGACACAATTGGGTAACTGAACTAGAGATACAAGTATCAGATGATGATACTATAATATGTATTAGAAAATAATACTGAATTCTAGATGAAGATACAACCCAGAGCATACGCTACCATGGGAAGAGGGCAGAAACTGCCTCATAAGGGAAAGGAAAGAAAAGCACCATTGTATATCTTGCTTTATACAAACTAAATATTACTTGAAATCTTATCAATCATCACAAGTTACTAGAATGAATGATAGCAGCTAAAAGTTTCATTTGGTCTCTATAAAGATCACAAATATTCTTTACTGTGGTTTCAAAGTACAGACATACCACTTTAAAGAATATTAAATCATGGTAGTACCTAACTGAAATTACCTAATACAGCAACAAAAAGTTATAAACAATGTTTGGTTCTATGAGGTACTTCAGGTCACATTTTTAAAAGAATCCAAAGAATAAGAACAACATTAGATAAATAAAAGATGGTACATCAAGGAAGGAAAATATGAAATAATATATGGTGGCTTGCCAGGTGTGGTGGCACACACCTGTAATCCCAGCACTTTGGGAGGCCGAGGTGGGAGGATCACAAGGTCAAGAGATCAAGACCATTCCGGCCAACATGGTGAAACCCCGTCTCTACTAAAAATACAAAAAAAAAGGGCCAGGAACGGTGGCTCACATCTGTAATCCCAGCACTTTGGGAGGCGGAGGCAGGCAGATCACTAGGTCAAGCGATCGAGACCAATCTTGCCATGGTGAAACCCTGCCTCTACTAAAAATACAAAAATTAGCCGGGTGTGTTGGCACACGCCTGTAGTCCCAGCTGCTCGGGAGGCTGAGGTGGAAGAATCACTTGAACCCAGGAGGCAGAGGTTGCAGTGAGCCGAGATTGCGCCACTGCACTCCAGCCTGGTGACAGAGCAAGACTCCGTCTCAAAAAAAAACATTAGCTGGGTGTGGTGGCACAAGCCTGCAGTCCCAAGCTACTAGGGAGGCTGAGGCAGGAGAATCACTTGAACCCCAGAGGTGGAGGCTGCACTGAACTAAGATTGCACCACTGCACTCTAGCCTGGTGACAAAGGAAGATGAAAGAAAGGAAGGAAGGGAGGGAGGAAGGAAGGTTGGTTGGTTTTAAATTGGAAAATCTGTATTCTTATTCATTAATATAAAATGTAATAATTCTTTTGATACAATAGCAGTTAATTTTTAGTGATTTTAAGAAGCTAGAGAATTACTTTACAGTAATTATAAAGTTAAGAATTAGTAGAGAGGATCACATAAATAAACAATAATTTGCTGCAACACAAAGTCACTTACATAATAACTGTTCTCCAGGTAAGGAATGACACACCAATTCTACATACTGATATTAGCATTATAACATAATCTCTGATTTAATTTTTTTTAGACTCATTCTCAGTCAAAATGTGAACATATGGAGGAAAAGCTGGTAAAATTTCCTATGTCCCTTTGATTTACTGAGCATAAAAAACTGAAAGCTAAGAGAAGTGGAGCTGGGAAAGATCTAGAATATGTGAAGTTTTAACTGAGAAAAACACTTTCTTTACAATATGCATGCAAGCATGATTCAATAAGAAGTAAATGTTATCATACCATGTATAAAAGTTTGAGAAAAACAAAGTTTCATTATATATTGCTATAAATATTAATATACAATATACAGTGTAATCCTTAACCATAATTTTTAAAAAAAACATTTCTTATTAAACAAAATTGAATAGGTTGAATAGGTTCCAAAATGTCCTTATTTGCTAGTTATCTATAACTTAGAAAACAGGCACACCATCCTACCACACTGCCTCGAGTGGACTAACACTAATTTTTTTACTTTTCCCTCCATTGTCACTGGGAATGAGTTAGTTCTGTCCCCAACATCTCCACTACCAGCACAGCCTCCTTCAAAAATTTCGATGGTAACGGTTTCCAGTTAGGACAACAAGCTATTTATTATTATACTTAAAACATTGGTCATCTACCATGTCCTTTCTTGTTTTTCTGAGGTCTGCAGGCATTAACTCTATAGTTTCTTTTCCTGCTCTGTCCTCTTAATTCAGCACTACTCTCTTCCCTTGACCTTTTGCTTTGCTGGTCTGACAGCTCCTCTCCAATCCTAGACTTCTAATACAAACTTTGAAGATTTCAAGGGTTTGGATTTCTATGAAAGACAATCAAGTGAAGACTAATGATCCGCTTACTCACTTCCCTCACCCACCCCCATGTTCTTTCCACAGAGACAAAATTGCTTTTACATGTGACATCAAGAACTATTCGAGATTCACCTACATAGTAATTATCCCAGGATTTTCACTTCCAACTACCACTGTACTGAGTCTTCCAACTTAGGAAAGAAATGAAATTAAGTAAAGATGTATTCTCATTTTTCTCAGAGTCCTAGAGTACCAGTCTTCGTCCTAAAGTAGCACTGCATCTGAGTACAAGGTCTGGGTTACAGCAAGGTCCTGGACAGAAAATTTAAAACAATAATAACAGTAATACACACACACACATATATTCTTTAAAATGTTCATTAATGTGTATATATGTATGTGTGCAAAACATCTGGTGCAAAAAGGAAAAAAGTAGGAACTGAAGATTTCCAGCTGAAATAATTCTTCTGCTCATCCATGTAAAAACCTCCATCAGTAGTCAACACTAAAATGTTACTTAAGTTACTAATGACGCATTCAAGAGTCTGGATAAACAGAATGCTTCCTGCTTGCAAAGAACACAACTTTTAAAAGCCCATTTGTCCAGAAATATACACAATATCTACAGTACAACAGAGAATCTTTTTTCATATATTAAACTACATGTTACCAGTTAGGGTGACAATTAGAATTTTCAACCCTATTTAAAACTTTCGGCCCCTACAGGAAAACGAACACCAGAACAGTTAAAATGTAGACTTTAAGGAGGGGGAAAGCTTTTTCAAATTTTATCTGAACAGGCTTCAATGTTAAGTAAATGATTCAAAGTATATGAGAAAAATTAGAAACAATAAGATAAAATGTAAACACTAAAGTCTTTCCTATTATAGAGAATATAAATCCAGGTCATACGAATAACTTACTAATTTACTCTTCTATGAAGGTTTTCCTCCATTTTTGTTTCTGGTTTAAGTTGCCATCACACTTCCACCCACAACATGAAGTCTTTCCCAAACACAAGAATTATCAAAGATAGAGTGGCACTAATGAAAATCTATTCCTTTATTTTCCTATTTCTTCTCTCCATTTGCAGAGTAAATGAATATCTGAATATCTCTTTTTATTAAAAAAGAAAATGGAAAAAGAAAAGGAAAATCCAGGACACAAAGTTTTAGTCTATTAATAAAGACACAACAAAAGAGGGTCTTAAATGGGAATGGCTCCCTTGCCCCAGGAAACTTACAATATTACACTGTACTCAGAGGTTCACATTATAATTATGGCTGAGAAAGGAGAAGCATACAAGAGAGACTCTTTTTGAATAACGATTCCAAAAGCTCAATTACGAAAAGCTTGTCAATAAACACATATCCCTTCTAGTATCTTCACTTCAATCCGTAACTGTCTTTTTCAGGTCTCATCTTCTGGAAGCCTAAGTGAAAGCATAACACTTTAATCTGGATGAGTAGCGGCATAGTATTAGGAAATTTTCAAATAATTAGGCAATTAAAACTACATGAAAGTACTAACTGGTAGGATAAATCCCTATACTCTGAATTTCTAAGATTAAAAAGGTGATACTAAAAATAAGGTATCTTCACATTTATATTTCATAATTTTAGAAAGAAAAAATTAAGTTTATTTGATGCATAGTTTGAGAGAACTTTTTTTTTTTTTTTTTGAGACGGAGTTTCGCTGTTGTTACCCAGGCTGGAGTGCAATGGCGCGATCTCTGCTCACCGCAACCTCCGCCTCCCGGGTTCAGGCAATTCTCCTACCTCAGCCTCCTGAGTAGCTGGGATTACAGGCACGCACCACCATGCCCAGCTAATTTTTTGTTTTTTTAGTAGAGACGGGGTTTCACCATGTTGACCAGGATGGTCTCGATCTGTTGACCTCGTGATCCACCCACCTCGGCCTCCGAAAGTGCTGGGATTACAGGGCTGAGCCACCGCGCCCGGCTTGAGAGAACATTTTAAAAAGAACTTTCTAAAACAGTCTTTCAGATTGCTTCCATAAATTTAATACTAAAACAATTCCAAACTAAAATACTCAGCTGACTACATAGGAATTAGTGAAGCAACACTGCAGCACTGTGCAGAAAAAATAATATGTTAAAAAGCCTGCACAGAGAACATCCCGTGCTGGTAGCTACTCTCAAGTGAAGCAAAAAGGACTGCAACATACAAACACACACACACACACACACACACACACACACACACACAAGAATAAAAGAGTCTTTCTATATTAACAGCAGTTAATGTTTCAACTACTACTATAGCTCCACGTCTATACAAGATGGAAGATGGAGCTGGGAGAGATGAGGCGGTGAGGGAAACAAACATCCACGGAAAACCAATTCTCTAAGTATATGTCAATGTTTTTCCTCTATGCAAATGCTAATGCATATTAAAAATAAACACTGATGACTTATTACAATTTTAACAATTTGTATAGATGTTAGGATACCATCCACCTGCTGGATTTTAGTATGTTAATTCATATTACAAATACGAAAATCATATAAACTTGCAAATCTCAAAATACGCAGTGTCCATTTCGAATGACCAGTAATCAGGAAGCCAGTAAGAGGCATACATTTGATAAAATTGAATCCTACTAGATGCACACAGTGAAAGCCTTAGTTTCACAGCGCAATATTTTTAAAGTCACAAATTGTTACAAGCTTGCATCAGCGTTGTTAGTCTCCGGTTGAAACAATCATGTTATAATCTAAACAGTTCATTAAAAATTATTTGAAAATCTATAGATTGTATTCACAATACGCTCCAATATATTGTTGCTTAGGTACTAAAGCCAGTAATTTCAAATGTTACAGAAGTAGACCCCGCTAACTGGCACCACATACCCAAAGACTGAACTGCATTACGAATTTATTCTCCAACCGTACCGCGGACTTTGAAAACTAGAAGTGTAAAGATGTTTTCCAAACTTCTTAAACTAATTCTTTAAAAATCCAAAAACCTTAAGAGACTTCATACTCCCATAATTTTCAAAGTAGTTCGAATTACCTGAAAGCCCCAAAGTACAACCAAGTACCTTAAGACTCCACCCTCCACAAACAAGATCTTACCAATTATCATTCAAGTACTGTCAACTCTGAATAATTTTCAAACCACGTAAGTTGCATGAGCCGATTATACAGAGATAATGCCAAAGAGACTGTCTCCTTTCATTCCACGTTCCCCCGCTTCTGACAGCTGCCAAAACTACCTACCTACAGCACGTGAAGATAAAGTACCACTCAATTCCCAGGACCGAAATCGTTATCGCTGCTGAGAAAAAAACAAGACCGATCACAAGATGTCTTTCTCTCACAGGCCTGGGACGCGTATCGAGGGAGATTCTTAACCTAAGCCCAAAGTGCTGCACCTTCCGTCGCACACAAATGCGAAGACCACACAAGGGTCCCCGTGCGTCCATCAAACGGTAACGAGGGGCACAGCCTATCGAATGAGCCTACCTGTCTCCCTTAGACAAATGCCAGAATCGTAACCACAGCGAAAAATTCCGTCTGAGCACAGGGAGCTGCTGCAGAGTTAAGGGTGGGATGCTCCATGAAAGCTAAAAACCTCAGGGACTCACGCGAAGATGGGGGGTAACCCGGGCCTCCACATTCCGGGTGCGCCCAACGCCTTTCTCCAGACACCCACGCCAATTCACTGACACTTACCTCCTCCCCAAGCTCTCTTCGCAAGTGCAGTCCGGAGGCAGCACCGCCGCCGCCGCTCCGAGGAGCGGGGGAGGCGACTCTCTGTCCCCGCGCCTGGAACCAGGAGGAGGACGAGGAGAAAGCGGTGCGCGTGCGGTTCCCGGGAACCGGCCCTCCGCCAGCGAGGGGTCCCCGGGACGGCTGAGAAGCAGAACCCGCCCGCCGCCTCGCCAGGGTAAAGCGAAACTTGGTCGTAGGAAGAAAGACAACGAAGCTATTGTAGGGTAAGAAAAGGCAACAAAAACACTATGAGGCCGCTAGAAGGACCGCCTCAAAAAGCCGCCGGAAGTCAGAGCTTTGCCCTGTTCCGCTGCAGACCCGGCAGCTTCCGGCCGTCAGATTAGTCGTCAGTGCGCAGCCATCGCCCTCCGTGGACACGCCCTCTAGGCGTAACGTGCCCTGCGAGGAGTGAGAGTGCGGCCGGCCCTGGAAATCAGCGAATCTGTGCTCTGTGAGAGCTCCTGCGAGAGGAAACTGGGAGCCAGGGAGAACTAAAATTCCCATTTCAAAGGAAATGTAAGAAAGTGTTCTCTTTTTATTACATAATTCGTTCCTATCAACAGTTGTTGTACAAGCGCAGAATGCCGCGTTTGTTGTTGAAAGTAACTAGAGCCATTCATTCATTCGTTCGACAGTGTTTATTGAGCAGCAGAGCGGGAATGAGAGGCCATGTTTGTCGTTTTTGACACTCCCCCTTCTTTCTGGACCATCCATCGCCTACTTCGGAGGAGCAAACGGAATGCATGGTGGTATTTCTAAGGGCACAAGCAGGAAATTTATTGAAAACTTGGAGCAGAAATCTTTAATGTACTTCTGACCACGCTTCCTTGTGTTGAGTAGGATCCAATGGCTGCTTTAATGAACTAGTTTTAATGAAACTAGTTATTAAACTTGCTTGAGATGGCTAGTCAGACGTCGGAAATAAAAGAAAAAGTCAGTAGCTAGACTTTGACAATTTTTTTTTTAAAGGTAAAAAAACGTGAACCCTTGTCTGCCTTAAGGTCAAGGTAGCACTTATGTTCTTTGACAAAACCAAGGAATACGAAAATCTTTTATTAAAACAACGGATAAAACTTAAAAATAATCTGGTACAATGATTCGGTCTTGCTGGAATCAGTAAATTAAAATACTAATGCAGAATGATAAAATCAAGAGCATTAAACATTCCTAATGACATGCCAAGCTATTTTAGAGACTGCGGCAAAAGCTTCTGTACAAGTGGGTTTGATGTAACGCTCTGGTAGCAAGAATCCGTATCTGCCCTTATCTCGAAGTTCAATTGTAAACGAATATTTGATGCCCAAATCATAGAGCCAATCATCCGCACCTCCAGGAGCTAGGTCTGAAAGAAGAAAGAAGTTACTTTTTGAAATATAGGGGTTTCAAATTAATTAATAAACTGAGAATTGTTTGATTTAAATGTTTGTTTGGATACCTTTACATTTTTTTCAGTTTTCAGCTAATATAAACAACTTTGCAGTGAGTACCCTTGTTTATGTAATTGCTTCTTTGTCTCTTTAGAATATTCTTTCCTAGAATAGATTTGCTAGTCTAAGGCTTTGCACTTTTTGCAGTTACGACAAGTTCCCAAATGGACTTCAAAAGAACTGAATTAATTTATACTTCCATAAGCAGGATGTGAATTTGGCCACTTCCCCATCCCATACCATCAATAGGAATTATGAATTCTGATAATTTTACGGGTGAAAACTTTCTTGATTTATTTTTTTTATTATCAGTGAGTTGCACATTTTGTTTGGCATATTTATTGACCATCTTTATATTTCCTATTAGTTGTCCTTCCTCATTTTTCTACTTGGTTCATTTTATCAATTGCTTATAAAAACAATATTAATGTTATTAGTTCTGTTTGGCATGTAGACCTTTTTTTCTCCTTTCATTCGTTTCTTTTTTCATAAGGAATTGTTCTCTCCCTACTGAGCTTTCAACTTCATTTATGCAGAGTTTTCATATGAAAATATATGCTCTACCTGGAATTTACTTTGGTGAAAGACATGTTAATCAATTAATTTTTTTCTAGGTAACTTGTTAGGTTTTCCAACCCCATTAATTGAATAATCTAACGTTCTTTTTTTTTTTTTGAGTGCTAAATTGAGTCCAGGATATGGCAAAATCCGGCCCAAAATTTTAATTTATAATTTTAGCATCTATCTAATACAGTTTGGGGAGCATCACATGAAAGCTATAATTACCAGAAGACTTGTTACAGTTTAATGCATGTTAACTAAAATGTATACATATTTTAGTGTTCCTTATAAACACAGTTTTGACCTTTTTTGAGATGGAGTCTTACTCTGTCACCCAGGCTGGAGTGCAGGGGTGCAATCTGAGCTCACTGCTACCTTTGCCTCCCAGGTTCAAGTGATTCTTATGGGTCAGCCGCCCAAGTAGCTGGCATTACAAGCACTCCGCCATGCCCAGCTAATTTTTGTATTTTTAGTACAGACAGGGTTTCACCATGTTGGCCAGGCTGGTCTCAAACTCCTGACTTCAAGTGATCCTCCCACCTTGGCCTCCCAAAGTGCTGGGATTACAGGGGTGAGCCACCGCGCCTGGCCTCTTTTTGATTTTTCCATTTAAAAAAATGGAAAAACCTGGATTTGGCCTTCAAGCTGTAGTTTTCTGATGCCTGGTTACAGGTTTATTTTCTGCTCCTTTTTCCCCATCTCCCTTCAAACTTCAAAAGGGCAAAATCAGTGTGCCCTCTCACTGTGTGGATGGGTGTTCATCAATAAATATCTTTCAGCAAAAATTAATCAAAACTTTTTGTTAAGAGTTTGTCACGCCGGGCGCGGTGGCTCAAGCCTGTAATCCCAGCACTTTGGGAGGCCGAGGCGGGTGGATCATGAGGTCAAGAGATCGAGACCATCCTGGTCAACATGGTGAAACCCCGTCTCTACTAAAAATACAAAAAATTAGCTGGGCATGGTGGCGCGTGCCTGTAATCCCAGCTACTCGGGAGGCTGAGGCAGGAGAATTGCCTGAACCCAGGAGGCGGAGGTTGCGGTGAGCCGAGATCGCGCCATTGCACTCCAGCCTGGGTAACAAGAGCGAAACTCCGTCTCAAAAAAAAAAAAAAAAAGAGTTTGTCACAAGCTCTTGTCTGTGTAATGTACATTAAAGACAATCAACTGTAATGTGTTATGAGCTGTAGTCTTGAGGACAAGCTAACACTAAAAAACGCTTGATGCAAATGGGATGCCCTAGATTAGTGTAGTATACAACCCGCACACCCTTCCGTGGCAGCCCTGGGAATCATACCAAAGTTTTATGAACTTTTCTGCTTCACTCACTACTATGATGCCAATTCTGTAATTCCTACTCTATTGTGATAAATATAAATAGCATTTTGGCTTCTTTTTAGTAACTCATTTATTTTATTTTTATTTGTTTATTTTTTTGAGATGGAGTTTTGCTCTTATTGCCCAGGCTGCAGTGTGGTGGTGCGATCTCGGCTCATTGCAACCTGCACATCCCAGGTTGAAATGATTCTTCTGCCTTAGTCTCCTGAGTAGCTATGATAGGCATGCGCCACCATGCCCAGCTAATTTTGTATTTTTAGTAGAGACGGGGTTTCACCATGTTGGTCAGGCTGGTCTCAAACTCCTGACCTTAAAAGTGATCCACCTCGGCCTCCCAAAGTGCTGGGATTGCAGGTGTGAGTACTGTGCCTGGCCAGTAACTCATTTATTTATATAGTTTCATTCAGCGCTGTCATAGCGATTATTTTTCTGTTCCTAATTATTACCATTCAAATGTATTACATATGACCCTATTTAATTTGGAAAAATTAAATACACAAAGAAAAGCAGATCACACAGATTTCTTTAGCAGCTCAAAGTTCTCTAAGATCATGAGAAGAAATACTTACATAAGGTTTCTGAGCCACTGCCATGTGTATACATGGTATTTTTACTGGTTTTCGCAATAGCACGAACTGCTTCACTGGCTACTAGAGACTGGAAGCAAGAAGACATGGAATTTCAGTTAATGTGCAGCTTTGAAACAGGACAGGTAGAAGTTTCTAAAAAACAATCACACAATAATTGAATCAAAGTGTACATGTAGAAAATCTAGATTCATCCACAAGGCAAATTAATAAGATTAACAAATTAACTTAAAAATGTGCACTTTGTGGCAATCACAATTGGGTGGCTTTAAACATAAACTATTCCAATATATTGAAATTTTAATTTGCAGAAAAAATTTCTCACATGCCTTTTTGGGAATTTATTTATTATGGAAAGTGAAGTATTACTACATTTCAAAGGCTTAGAGGTACTCCATTTCTGAACAAAATTATCAGCAAATTTTAAATCCAGAGTCTCTAAACACATACATACACCTGATACATGCATGATTCACTTCTTATCCTTCTCACAAGTTCTATTTTCTTCTTGTGTAAAATGTCTAATGACTTTCACAGATTCATCGGATCAAAAAAGATTATGACTCTGGTATGGAGCAGGATATTAACAAAGACCCCAATTCGACTTCATTTTGTTCTAGTTTACACAAATCTGTTCTGAAGTTCTCACTTACCTGGAACTTTTGTGAAATTGGAACTAGCATCACGGTATACACTGTGACCCTCTTGAAAAACTCAAGAGATTTATCAGCGGATATTATTTTATGCCATTTCTTTGTTCAAAAAATAAATTTTAATGGAAGCCCACTGTCTACATAATGAAATACAAATTTATCTGACATTCACACCCCCTCACAAGCCAACCTCATCTACTTTCTGATGGTATCGCCCTCCACTTTTGCATCCTCTTATGGGGAACAACATCTTCTCTGGTTGGAAGGTCCTCCCTTCCCTGTCTGCCTAAAGAAATCCTCTTTCAATGCCTGTCTAAAATGTATCTAATCTTTGACATCAACAGCACTTTATTATCCGTTGGTTTTCCCCCTTAATAGATTGTAAATTCCGCAAGGACAGGAACTACTTCATCTCCTCACTTAGCATTTCCCTCCGAATGCATGAATGAAGCCAGGCCTTGCTATTCTTTTTTTTTTTTTTTTTTGAGACGGAGTTTCGCTCTTGTTACCCAGGCTGGAGTGCAATGGTGCATTCTCGGCTCACCACAACCTCCGCCTCCTGGGTTCAGGCAATTCTCCTGCCTCAGCCTCCCGAGTAGCTAGGACTACAGGCACGTGCCACCACGCCCAGCTAATTTTTTGTATTTTTAGTACAGACGGGGTTTCACCATGTTGACCAGGATGGTCTCGATCTCTTGACCTCGTGATCCACCCGCCTCGGCCTCCCAAAGTGCTGGGATTACAGGCTTGAGCCACTGCGCCCGGCCCCAGGCCTTGCTATTCTAATCAGAAGTGAGTTGTACCATCTGTGCCACTTACTTAGTAGTTACTCTGTGTCACCCTAGAGTACAGCTATTTGTAACATTTGCTCATAACCATAACACATTCTCTTAAAGGGCAGGATTTTACCTAATGCTTCTTTAGACATCCATTGACAAGGTATTTTACACGTAATGGCTTTCAACAAATACGTGTGCTGACAGTAATGGAAAAAAAGCGTAATTAGACTAATTCTACTTCCCAAATCAGGATACGTTTCCTTTTATTTCTTTAAAGATATTTTTTAAAGGTACTTTCCTTTAGAATCTTCCCTCGAGAAGAAAAAAGCTCAAGTATCAAGTATATTTATTTCTAAATGGGCTATTTTCAGCAAATGGAAATAATCTTAATATTTGTCATCAGCAATTGCTAGATCCTGAAATGTGACTATATTTTATTCTGTTAAGAGAGCCAGAAAAAAAAAAGAGTCACTAAGAAACCAGCTACTACCTAAAATTTAGTCCCCGCCCAAGAATGGGGCTGTTGCCATAACACTTTCACTATCTGAAGAGCATCTGGGATGAGGATTTGTTGAAGCCTAGCTACAATCCTTCAAGAATCCTTGCATCTTTTACCATCAACCCAAACACACAGTATCTGGGGCTAAAAAGTGCTACGGGCGTAGCAGGTTATATGAGTCCTCTGTGAACTTCCTGTATTGTTCATTAGGTTCCAAAAAACAGACTCTTGCCTCAATGTTAAAGTTGGAGGTGCTTTAATAGGACCAAAACCCTGAGGGTCCGCGAAGTCAGGGCATAAACAATTCCTGCTGCTAATACCAAAGCAATGAGTGCTGTGTTGAGCCTTATCTGTGGTGGGCTGTTGTAGGAAGCTAGTGACCACAAAGCTGTTGCATGATTCCATAACTCGTCCTTGCTTACATGGCTTCACATGCAGATCAGGTCAAGCGGGGGGTAGTTCCTTCCTAACCTTCCAGGAATTTGTCTGATATTTTCTTAGGGAGCCCATTGTTGGAATAAAGTGCACGTTGTTAGAATAAGTCACGTTCTTTTACATTCCCTTAGCGAACACTGACCTGGGGCAACCTCTCAACAGAATCACACCATGATTTAAAACATCTATCATTTGCCTTCTAGAGGA